AGTAAACGATTCTGAACAAACTACTTTCTCAAAGTGCGTTAATTACGTTACATATTGTATATAAAATGTTAAGCAAGTATTGATGATTCACCTTAATGTATTGCGATTGGAACACATTCATTATATTCTTGGTAATAATAACTACGTATATGTTAAGATTATTTGCTGCCCTGACCACTTACATTAACTATAAAAATAAAAATGTATAAAAGTACACTAAAATTTGAGCCGACTATAATGTTTAACTAGCCATGTAAATAAAGTGAAATATTACGTTTTATTAAACTATATTTTCCATCGTTTTACACTATTTTGAAATTTAATTACATTTTGATAATTATTAAAAGATGTTATACGAATCTCGACAATGTCTTCAATTATAAGTTATAAGAAAAATGGAAGTGCAATTGTCACTAATGTTAAATCAAACTCTTTGTGATAGTTGACGTCAAGATTTCAAAGTAATTTAAGCATCAAAAAGTAAAATGAATTCAATCATTTTACAATATATATTAACTCTATTTTTATTAAATTAAATTTCATCATAGCCGATTGTCGAAAGCAGCAGCAGTTAAAATTTCAAGACATCAATCAACATTTGAGTCAAAAGTTAAACACAAGCTGAACGCATATTTTTCAGCACCGTATGCGCCGCATTTACTGAAGGCCTCGCACATTTGCACGTACGCGCTGTACGCAAATCTTTTGTATTGCCAAAAAATTTTAGTTTTTTCGAACCACTGGCGTGAAACGGTACAATGACATTGATCGCTCGGATCGCTATGGAAAAATTTTTGTAATAGTCTGCTTATTGGCAGAGGAAGAAGAAAATAAAAAACGAAGAAAAAGAAGATTCTGGATTTCTAATATTAATTTAAAAAGGCAGTTGTATGGAGAATATTATACTTTATTTAAAGACTTAGTAGATTAGGGTGAACGATTTTTTAGATATTTGCATTTAACGTACAAGAAATTACAAAAATTGCTACATATACTAAAACCATATCTCTCTATAGAAAACTCAAGATTTAAAAGGCCGATTGAACCAGATGCGGAACTATTGATAACACTGAGTATCAGCACGCGCCGAACTCGCCGCGTTATGACGTCATCAGCATGCGTCCTTCAATATTCGGATACCCACCGCATTTTATAAAATGCGGTGCGTACGGTGCGGGTGTAATGTGCGAGGTTTCATATGATTTCATACAACGAATTCTAAAATGCGGCACGTACGGTGCTGACAAATGTGCGTTCGCTTTGGGTTTACATTATTTTAGTGCTTTAGCAAAGCACATTAGTGGCACTCGAATGCATGTTGTGGCACATGCAAGCAACGCAAGCAACTATGGCATAGTAACACACAGAGGGGGACCTTTAGGCTACTGATCATAGCAGCAGGGAACTTTTGAGAAGCTGTAATAAAAGGAAGAAGGAAGGAAGCAAATGCTGGAAAAAATTGTATATGATTTTAGTAAGGGAGAATCGTAGTAAGCCAGCAGTTAATCACTGAAAAGTAAAAGATCTTGACATTTCTACCAATGTACCCTTCTGCAGCTATTAACAAATGAAAAATGTAAACCAGCCATCATGGGTATTGTATGGTCAAATATAACAAAATAAAATACTAGAATTAAGTGAGCGTTATTACGGATCATATAGCTATTGTTAAATTAAAGATACTTTTGAAAATAAGGATTATAGTTTTACATGCATTAAATATTTTTATTAATTTTAAAATTATCGACAAAATTATATACATATCGAGAGCATTATTTCTTGAGAAAGTGTGCCAAACTTGAAACAGTTGTGTCTGTCAGAGAAACATTTACCTCAAGTATTGACTTAGTTTCATTAGATAAATATAAAATTGTATAATATATCACTAAACACACGTGAGTTATATATTATTGCTCGAGAGATTGACCGACTTCGGAGTAATCTTCCTAGTAATTATAGTCACTGTGAAGTAAAACAAGAAAACATGAACCCAGCTATGTTACATATAAAAATTGGACCACCCTATAATGTCTAGAAATAAATAAGTGGAATAAAAATATAGTCCTGGGCAGCACCATCACAAGAGCGAGATGATTTAGTAGAGCGAACCTAATACATAAAAATGAATATTCGTTTGTTCATATTTCATGCGATGCCATACCGTTAATCAGATTGAAGAATTTGAAAGTTATTATATATCATTCAAATTCAATTAATGTATTATCATTACTTATTAAAACACAATACCATTCTTCCAAAAAAAAAAACGATATTTTCACAATTATTTCTTCTGCGGCACCAACGCATCGGTAAGCAAATAAATAGTAGTAGTAATTAAATAAAATTTGTAAGCAAACAGTATTGCTTAATGCATTCTAATATTGTACTTATGTGCTGCTATCTAGTGATATAGATCCATCACTCGCAGCTTTACAACCGAAAATATAATGACGCCCTTGTAACGAACAATTCAAAAGCACGACGATGGCGTCGTCGGACACGGAGACCATGTAAAGGTAATTCAATTAACGACAATACAGACATAATATTACACCAAAATTGTGTGAAGCTAATGTGTGCGTTATGTGCTACAATTTGTCATGCGATACATACACCTACACATACATACATACATACATTACAACAAAATCGACAATCAGCGTGTAATGTAGAATGTGCCAATGATGGGACATTGTAAAGGGACAATCAGCTCCAGTATGCAGTGCGCGTCAGTGTTAAAGCTGACGCGCGCTGCATACATCACTGGTGCCGAATGTCGAACCTTAATGCATTTGTGTTGGTGTATCTCGCAGTTGAGAATTAAAATTATAGGATCTAGGTTGCCTCAAACATTTTTGGTGTATTTTTCCATATGTCAACAATATGGTTACATGATAGGATAGGATACGGAAATCACTAGCGTGAGACCGGACATCAAGAATTTACAGCTACCCTAGTTCAAGCTGAATCACTTTCAAGAACCAACAATCTCTACATAGTATAAAACAAAGTCGCTTCCCGTCGTCTCTACGCTTAAATCTTTTAAACTACGCAACGGATTTTGATGTAGTTTTCATCAATAGACAGAATGATTCAAGAGGAAGGTTTATATGTATAATGCATGCATATGTTGTCGAGATCCAAAAATCACCCGTGCGAAGCCTGGGGCGGATAGAGGATTCTATAAGCGTATGGATCAAGCAGTTAGTGCGCACTCTCGCTCTATAATTTCACGAATAACAACCGCGACTTGATTGTTGTTAATGGAAGCGCTATAGGATACTATAATACATACATAATAGAACGGGGGAGTGGACGGAGCCCGCGTAGCGACTAAAATGTAATTCACACGTATAAATGTCAACACGAGATGTGTTTTGACGTTACAATCGTTTCCAAATTTGGCATGAAAATTATTTCGAAAATGCCAAATTGCACCCTATTTACAAATAAATATGCATTAAAATTTAAACGACTTTTTTTAATAATGATCTTGAACATTAATCAAAAGTCTAAAATGTGTAAATTTACTAAGTCTATCAACACAGCGAATTGGGTTTAGCGACGCCATTCCTCGTACAAAATAAAGTTGACAGCCATTCTATTGTGTATTATAGTATTCTAGTCTTTTTATGGCGGTGGGATTTATACGTAGTGACTTCTTATATACTGGTAGTAATAAAATAACAATTATCACCGTCTCACTAACTGCATGTTCTCAATTGACATAGGTTTAGTTCGAAAAGATTTTAAACTTTATAATTAGACAGCGACAGAATCAGAAAGCGACAGAGGTGCACTATCTCACTCTAGGCTTGAGTACAGAGCATCGAAACGGGTTTGTTAGGTAACCTGTGAGCAACGTACGTAAACCTCTTTAGCTTTAATCCAGAGTTTGACGACGCCGATGATAAGACAGCCGATCAATGACAAGCACACTTGACGTCTCGCTCTAGTTTCAACATACAATTGCACCTTCATTTTCACAGGTAGCCAGTGAGGGAGAGATGCATGTGTTATCTCCTTCTAGAGCAGTGGTTCTCAACCCGTGGTTCTTATCTGTTTGCTGTTCTTTCTTAGCTAGCGGGTTAAAGGCACACGAAGTGATCCGTGAAGGCCTACAGGTTTATTATATTTATAGAAAATTGGAGATGATGGTCAGCGTGCAAATATTGCTGATACGGTTCCGATACAATGTGTTGCTATATTAAAATATACTATGCACAGTGACATCTTTTTATGCATTCATTATTGTATGTGTTTTATTTATGAAACAATCTTGAAAATCAACCTTACTATTGTATAGTAAATAAAAGTTGGTAAGTTCATGGCAAGACAAAAAAACGTTTAAATTAATTATAATGTCTTAAAGTTTAAGAACCACTGTTCTAGAGGGAGGAATAGCGCGGTGTGACATTGACTAGTCGAAACAGATTTCAACAGGAGTGTACACTAGAGTGTACACTCCTGCAACAAGTTAATTTTAGCAGTTAATGAGCATCAGTTACTTATCTAACGTATTAACTCTCGACGGAGTGAGCTTCCTCATGTATGCTAATATGCGTAAATCAGACGGTATCTTCTTGGTCGCTACTCTCCCCAACCATCCGAATTCTGTGATGTTGTTTTACGCACTAAGGGCCGCGAGTTCATATCTCGCACGGAACATAAATTTGTATGGTTTTCAAATAATAGTTCTGGGTCTGGATGTTTGTCTTTGTGTAATTTACGTAAACTATCTCTACAATACGGGAGAAAATACTACTGTGAGGGTAGTGTTTAAATAAATTGAGGCACCAAATTCCGCCAGTAAAGAACAGACCAGAGTGGCGCAGGTGATATCTCGTTTTACATGAGTGTCAAGCGGGGAGATGAGACATCTCGCTCTATAGTAAGGAGCTTGCCGACTAATGTGTTTAATCCGTTCGGTCGTGAGGCGGCGACCGGCTGGCTGCATTGGTTGCTGCGGGCTAGTGCGCGCGCGTGCGCAGGTCGAGGCACTAGGGCTGGGCGTCGCAGAGGTCGGGGGCAGCGGTGGCAGCAGTGGCAGTGGCGGCGGCGAGCGCGTGCACGGCCAGCGTGAGGCGCGCCAGCAAGCCGCCGCGCGGCGCCGGCTCCTCCTCGGCCGACTCGTCCGCGTCCGCTGCCGCCTCGGACCCCGCCTCGTCCCCGTCCACATCTCCTTCCGCGTCCGCCTCCGCGTCGCTGCCGTCCCGAGACGGACAGCGCGCCGGCTCGCTCGCCCCCGCGCCAGTCTCCGGCTCTGAATTTTCTTCTTCTGGTGGTCATAATGGAAACATCGTCTTTTAATAAATAGTAGAAGCAGATTTCAAAGTGCCAAAAATATTTAAATAGTTTCCACACGACAGCTCATGAATGAACGTCTCGACTTTAGACTGACTTCTTTCAAGTTGGCTCAAAATAAATTATTAAGTTCATTGTAGACCATATTTAAACATCTAAATCTGAAAATATACTAAATAATTCGTAAATTGATTTTATTTTATTTTAGTGATGTCGTAATATAACTGTTGCACATAAGTCTATCCTATAGTTGGAAGAAAGATCCTCAATTATAAATTAAAATATCAAATGCATTGCTCATTCATAAAGACAAATGAAATGTCTTATTATATTACTAAAAAAGGTCCCCAGATATTTTCGTCACTACTACTGCAGTATTTTCTTATAGTTTAGGGGTGACAGGTGGCCTTGTACGTGGTCGTGGATGTTCTAAATTAAGAATTAAAATGCTGATGCATTGTTATCCATGAGGAATAAAATGAATGCTTCGTTATTAGTAAAAAGTGTTTTTCATTCTTCACAGTCACCATGCGAAACACAGTAACATTAATCTGCTACTTCACATTGGTTTTCTGTACGAGTGCTACTTTTAAATAGTACTAGTTTTTACGTATTTTATTGCGTATATTTAACTTTTTAAATACCCGACGTTTCGAGAACTTTACAGCACCCATGGTCACGGGGGAGAGTGAGTAAGTAACTTAAACACATAAATGCCTACTTAATAGAATAATAAGTATTAAATAATTATGGTTATCAACACGTCCTTAATTATATTATATATTCTCCCTATGTTCTACGTAGGAGTTGTATATTAATCTGTGGATTATTAATAGTCTGCAATTATGTCATATATCATATAGCGACGGTGTAAAAATATTTTTATAAAATCTCATATTAAATGAAACTAATTTTTACGGAATTTAATTTACTTTTAAATTCACGATGTACTTCATATCATACTGTGGGTGTCGTAAGAGGCGACAGAAGGAAAAAACTTGGGAGACGGCAGTAACGTTTTCCTAATAGACTAAAAGTAAAAAAAAAACTGTGATATTCGAACCGCTTGCCGAGCGTGGCAATTATGACAAAATATTCCACCTATAAGGAATTCTATGCGGAGGTCTAGTGGACTTTAATAGGCTGTTATGGTAACGGCAAGGATGTGATGGTGTTGCAGCATATGAAGCGGTACCGACCGGCGGCGCGCAGCAGGCGCTGCTGCAGCGCTTGCGCGGCGTGCTGAAGCGCGAGCGGCGGCTCGTGCGCGTGCGCGAGCGCGTGCGGCGCCAGCAGGGCGAGCGCGCGCGCGCGGCCCAGCAGCGCACCCAATGGCGCGCGCGCCGCCGCTGCCGCCAGCTCCTCCGCAAGCGCCACCGCCGCGCACACGGCGCCCGCGCCGCTCGTCGCACCGCCGCCGCCCCCGCTGCCCGACGGCGACTCCGGCGCGTCCGACGAACTCGCGAGCGCGCACAACTACAACAAAACAACATTTTATACTATTCAAGTAATATGTAGAGACTTAGTTATTGTATTTTTTTTTTGAATACGTTTTGTTTACAACTGTCTATAATAAGGTGCACAAATGATAATATGTGTGTCGGAATTATTGTAAACAACACGTGCACCGCACACCTGCGCATTGCAATTGCAGTGGCGCTCGTGTAGCTACTTGTCTTGATTGTATAAAACGGACGGAGCGGTCGCCATTAAAGCAGTCTTGGCGCTGGCGTGGCACGGTGCACTTGTTGCATCCCGCTACTAGCTCATCCTCGACTATTCGGATAATTAATTCGTATAGAATTCCATTTCGTGTAATGCGTACACGAAATTGAATTCTATACCACAGACATACCACCCACGAAACACAACTGTCCTTTATAAAGAAGCAATAAACATTAGATTTACAAGTAAAATTAGTTAATACCATTTTACAAATGTCAAAAGCAAATAAAAGTAATGAACTTTACATATCATTACAACACAATACAATTAACACTAAACAACGAAGTAGGACTTACCACTATCTTATAAATTAAATTAAACATAATATAAACAAACAAAGTATGATTTATTATTATCTTATAATCTTATTTTTGTTTGTGACGAAAAATGAGCCGCACCACAGCTATATTAGGGTTAAAGCACGAATGGGATGGCTCGATCGGGGTAGAAGCACGCTCTCACAGAATACCAGAGCAAAGCTGCTGTGTTCCATATGGTGAGTGTAAAAAATCGGAGATCCTTTTTACTGTAAGCAAGGCATTCTACCTTAGTCCTCAGGATTGGCAACACATTTACATTTTGATTCTTAATCGAGGTTAGATGTAGATGTCTATGGACCATAGCATCCACTTACCATCAGGTGTGCTCGTTTGTCACTTTTATTTTATTAAAAATGTCTAATATATATATATTAATTCAGATTGTTAAAGCACAGAACTTAAAAATAGAAAGGTTTAATATATTCGTGCCAAATTTAACATTATGTACTCGGGTTTATACCATTCGGTCCTGGATGCTTCTCCTTAATCCGACCGAGTAGCCACTTCTCTGGTGGTAAGTTTTCATCTTTAAGGACTATATCATCTAGTACATACTTTGACTCGTGTTTTAACCACTTTGTTCTTTTTTGGAGTTGTAAGAGATATTCGGTATGCCAACAATGCCTAAAATCTCTTACTATTTTCTGAGTGAATTGCCATCTTGTGACTTTGCTTGCGTTAACCTCATGTAAGTCTGACCTTGGTGGCAATATAGGGGCTTCAATAAAATTTTATCGGTAGTCGATAAGTCATTATAACGCACATCACTAGACTACACTAGATGTAATCATGACTCTATGAGCGGGGAAATCCCGATGCGAATTCGACGTACATTCGCGCACACTTCATTGTTTATGGTATTCATTTCATTCTTTCATTTTTTCGTTTCTTCAAAAGTACATCAAAAAGATATACAGCTATTTATTTACTTTATTTAACTTTACTAGCTAAGCACTTTATCAGATCCCAAGGAAATTGTGTAAATTTCAAACCGACAAAAAATGATAGATAATATAAAGGAAAATATTAAATATAAATTGAACAAAGACGAAAAAGAAGTTTTGGATACGATAAGAAATTTGTATGATGACTGTGAAGAGTAATATTTTTATGTCATGTTTATATCTTAAGTGTTAATTTAAAATAAATAAAAATGTACACGGCAATTTTGTAGTTTTTATTCCAAAACACAGCAATCCAGATCTCAAAACACGGCAACTTAAAATTTCGAAATGGCAACCATGGCTCGATCTGACCTAACACTGTCGACGTTCCTTCTTGCGTTAAGTTTCTCGTCAGAATTTTTCTAAGGTGGCATTTCGCTTCTCACAAGCCACTGAAGTTGGGGCTATGAGTAGGTATAAAATGCCACTGAGTTCCGTCGAGAGCTAATATGCCTGTCAGATAGCCAGGGATTTCTAAACATGTCCACTAAGTCTTCGTTTGCTGCCACAAAATTCCTTCCCTGATCACTCCATATATGCGAATATTTGCCTCTTCTAGCAACTAATCTAAGAAAGGCTCCTATGAAAGATTCCGTCCAAACAATTTCTCAGAGCACTCCCTGTGGTAGATACGATAAAATACACAAAGAGATGCAACATCTCTTCGCAGTGCCAGTGAGTCAAGCCGATCGGAAAGGGCTCGGTCGCCGACGATTCGAACAGCTCTGCGCTGGAGGCGATCAAATGGAAGGAGCTGGCACTGGGGAGCCCCGGCCCTGAAATTGGAACAGTATTCCATGTGCGGCCGAACCGGCGCCTTATAAAGTTGCAGGCGGTGAGACGGCATGAAATACTGTCCCGCTCTGCTGAGCATGCCAAGCTTTTTAGAGACCAATTCGGCCTTCTCTTCTAAGTGACCACGAAACTGCACGTCACTCGATATGTCGACGCCGAGGATTCCGATACTGGCTGAGGCAACAAGGAGAGTGCCTTGAAACTGAGGAGATACGACGAAGGGGTTTTTTTTAACGGTAAACGCGCAAGCTTGTGTCTTCTGAGGATTAAACTGGACTAGATTTAGTCGCCCCCAGTCTGAGACTTTGTTCAACAAAGTTTCGACTTCAGACACAAGTTTGTCTCGGTACTCACCGACGTTTTCCCGAGAAATATTGGCACGGCCGGTGTATAAGGCATCACCAGTGTTGTCGTCTGCATAGCAATTAATGTTACCGGCTTGCAACATGTCATTGATATGCAGAAGAAACATCGTTGGTGATAGCACGCAATCTTGTGAAACGCCAGCGCTAATGGTACCGGAAAAGACGCGTTAAAACCGGTGCCAACTCCGGAGCACACATCTTCAGCATAATAGGAGAAACGCCATCCGACCCACTCGACTTGTTGACGACCAGGGAGAGGAGTGCTCTGCGCACTGAGCGTTGGGTAAATAGGACACACTGCATGGAGCACACACTCCGCGTGATGGTCAGCGGTGTGTTCCCCCCATCATCAAGAGTCGAGTTGGACGCAAAGAGAGAGCCCAGCAGATGGGCTTTGTCCTTTGCGGCATGGGCCAGTGAGTCGTCCTCCCTTTGTAGAGATGGGAGAGATGGATGACAGAAGTTCCCTTAGACAGCCTTGGCGAGAGACCAAAATGCACGTGTTCCCGAAGGAAGAAGAACTAGTTTCTCGCCAATTCTGCCGATGTGCTCTGACTTTGCCTTGAAAATGACACTTTTGAAGGACCTGGAGGCAGAATTATACTTCTTTTAAGAGCGCTAGTATTTGTATCCCGAGACGTCGATGCGCGAGCCCAGGTCTGGTAGCACTCTTGCTTATGACGTAGTGCAATTTTGCAGGAGCGACCAAACCAAGGCTGGATTCTGTCTCCGATAGGTACCTGTAGCACGACATCAGCGACAGAATCAGCAACAATGCTGGGATCATCCGGCAAAAAGCAAACCCGCCTCCAAGGCTAGGATGCAAAAAAAAGATCGCATATCGTCCCAATCCGCTGACCTATAATGCCAAATACGGCGGCAACTTGCAGTACGCAACCGCGATGAGAGCGTGAGTGGCACCGTACTCCGGATCAGACAATGGTCCGAGGAGCCAAGAGGGGCATCGACGGAGACCTGATTATCCGTCCGGATGTGAGGTCAGCAGAAGGTCCAACAGGAAAGGTACATGGTCTTCCACATATGGGATCCGCGTAGGTGAGGTAACCAGTTGTATCACACCATATGCCAAAGCATAGTCATAAACAGATCTACCCGCATGATCGGTTAAACGAGAACCAAGCCATTCTGCGTGGTGGGCGTTAAAATCACCAAGTATCTGTAGCCATCTGGACGTGGTCGATGAGTCGGCCTGTTTCGGCATTACCGCTATGGGACCTATATAGGTACCCGTAGACGCGGGGATGGTCGTCGCTACCTACGCGCAGCCATAAGATAGACAGGTCCGTACCTTCAAGGCTGCCAAGGCGTTGAAAACAGATGTCCTCACTAATGTAAAAAGGAGGCACAAAGGAGTGTTCTAATTTGTACCCTGGGTAGGAGAGATACGAAGTATCAGCCGGAGAGGACACCTGTGTCCCGGTTGGAAAGAGCTAAGCCAGCAAAGGAAAATACGTAAGTTTCCCAATCTCTGTGTGACTCTTGAGCTGGTTTTAGGATTGAGAGATATATTAATAACGGATCCCAGGAATCTGTCTTATTATTAAAAGTATTCAAGCTGTTGATACATTCTTTTGTATTATCAATTATTGCACAGGAACGGGAGGCAAGTGCTTTTCAATCAACAACTCTAACAATAATTGTGAATACAGGGCCACTTTATTAACTCAAAAAACCTGCCAATTAAGCTCGTTCACATTATTAGATTCGGACCCTAGTGAGGTGGAAAGGATTATAATGGGACTGAAAGAAACAAGCGCGGTTGGATGGGACGGATTACCCACTAGTATATTAAAAAAATATAGACAAATTCTAGTACCACCATTAACCCATATTTTCAGAATTTGTCTCTCTGAAGGAATTTTCCCAGATTGTTTAAAAAAAGCAATTGTAGTTCCAGTATTCAAATCGGGGGACAAAAAAAACGTTTCCAATTATCGGCCTATCTCAATACTCTCATCCACGTCTAAAATATTAGAAAAATTAATTAACAACAGATTAATGAATTATTTACAAAGTAAATCCATATTATCGAATATGCAATATGGTTTCAGGCCTAAAATGTCCACTGCTGATGCTGTGCAGGAAATGACCGATTACGTCTCTCAAGAATTAGATAAAGGCAACCAATCAATTGGCATTTTCCTTGACCTTGCAAAAGCATTTGATACGGTTTCTATTCCTATCCTATTAAATAAGTTAGAGAGCATAGGTATTCGAGGTAAGCAGCTTCAACTTTTTAAGAATTATTTAGAAAATCGATATCAATTCATGAAAATCGATAAGGTTGTTAGCTCTGAACAAAAAAG